AGATTCGACCTCCTTTTATGATCCTGTGTGGCAAGCTCTATAGGACCTTCTAAGGCTTAATTTACACACAACATTTAAAATGATCAGCATGTTTTTATATCCTGGTCTATTGAGACTCTGCAAAGAATCGGGGGGCTGAGCATACTCTAAATGACCTCCAAGTCAGTATCAGATACCACATTTGGAGAAACCATGTTAGAGGAGGCCACATTTCTGCTCTGAGGAGTTGCACTGCCCTCCGCTGCTGTCGTGCTCTTCCTTACCAGCACTGTTCATATACATCTGCATATGGTTTATGTCTTTATTTCTTACCTGCGTTTAGTAAACCTTTTAGAGCCATACCACCCGATAGAGAAATGACCTAGCCATTCGGCTTATTACCCTTTCCTCTCTCTCCTCACCTTCACAATGGAATGAAAGTGAACCGAATCAAACTGGGTTGAAGAAGTTGCTTTCAGCTAGTCCTGAACCAGTCTTCCTTTTCTTTTTTTCTTCTGTAACCTTAGCAACCATGCAGAACTAAAGCTTTTTTGGTCTACTCTTCTCTAGCCCTTTGCTTGGACCTTGTTTTCCCTTTGGACTAGTGACTTCTCTGTCTTTGAGAAGCAGGTGGCAAGAGGAGGTGTATGTGTCCATTTTACGCTGATGATACAGACATATCTGAGATTGTGGAAAAAAAGAGGTTTAATGGACTTACAGTTCCACATGGCTGGGGAAGCCCCACAATCATGACGGAAGGCAAAGAAGAGCAAGTCACATCTTCATGGATGGCAGCAGGCAAAGAAAAGTTTTGTTCAGGGCAACTCTTCTTTTTAAAACCATCAGATCTCTTGAGACTTATTCACTATTATGAGAACAACACGAGAAAGACCGGTTCTCATGATCTATTACCTCCCACTGGGTCTCTCCCACAACTTATGGGAATTGTGGGAGTTATAATTCAAGCTGAGATTTGGGTGGGGACACATCCAAACCATAACAGGAGGAATGCTATAAGGTACCAGAAAAGTAGGAAAGTTGATAAGCGTGAAGATAGAAAAAGAGATGCAGGCCTTCCATCAGTTTCAGACATCTCATACCCTATTCATGGCAGATGTGGCATAAATATTCATGGCAACCAAGATGGTTGCCACCAAGTGATGGTATAGTATACTCATTCTGCCCTGTGTGGGTATATCAGGAATAGATGACGTCTCTGTAGCTAGAGAATGTGGACTCAAGCTGAGGGGGGCGGGGATGTTTGCTGGCAACGATTTAGCTGGTGTTGGGTTGTCCCCAACCCACTGCATTTTGCACAACTGTGCTGTACCACGGCCTTGCTTCAGCTAGGCCTTGGCCCTGTTTTTAGAACTTTGGGAAAGCCCGAATAGAACTGCTTCACCGTCTGGCACACTTAAGATTCTTTTGTGTCCTCTAGGTACATCTTCCTTCCAGCCAGCCCTGTCTAGGAAGACAATGTCCCACCCTGCTACACTGCAGATTGTTCCCTGACTCTAATGGAACCACAGTGGATTAATTCAAGAAGAAACTAGTGACGCCTGTTTCCTCCTGAGCCCTCTACTAAGTTGCTATAGAGTCTTTTCTGAATGTTTACAGGATATCTTGCTCCAAGCAAGTCCCCATTTTCATGCTGGTTAATAAGAAATGTGGGGAATGCAATGGGTCTGAGGATAAAATTTCTGACTCTATAGCAAAGAAAAGCCCTAATGTCACTAGGAAAGTGATATAAACAGAAGACAAGTGGTGACTTTCATGAACCTCAACCAACCACAGCTGCATTAAACCAATGACATGAGAAATCTGGTATTCTGTTATCATATAGGATACAGCCCAGTATCAGCACTCTGAAGGAAAAACATGTGTGAGAGGCAACTTAGCTTCTTCCAAACATAGGGATAAAGGCTGAACAAGTATCTGGAAATGTAAAACAGAGATACAAATAACACAATGTCAATGATTGCTGACCATGTCTCTCCTTGCAATAGGCAGAACAAACTCAGAAAGTTTCTCAGCCCACAGAAAGCCACCTCCACCCCATTAAATTAGAGAGCTATATATTTCACAATCAACTGAGAGTTAAATACTCCTGATTGGTAACATCAAGTTTAGTTTCTGGGTCATTTTTCCCATAGTCTGGTTTAGTTTCATTCAATTCAGTTCAATCCAAAAAGTAGTTATTGAGCCCTGACTGTGGACTAGACTGTGTATTATGAGGGATGTGCAAATGACTAAGTTTCTGCTTTCAAAAAACCGAGAATATCCTGGGGAAGCAAAGATTTTTTTTCAAAGAGAAACAAAAAATCTAGCTCCATATATATATCTATCTCCATCTATCTATAGATGGAGTTAAATATACATATATATTTATATGTATTTTTAATCACATCTATATCACAACATTCATATCAACAAGGGGAAAAAAAAACTATCCCAGTTGAGATAGACACAGCTAATTATGAAAAGAGGGCTGCATTAAGGGCCCTCTCAAGGGAAAAACAAGAGTGCTTTGGACCCATAGGTGAAAACTGCAATGGCTCAGTGGGCAAGAGGACATGTGAGCTGGCCCTTGAGCACTGAGTAGAATTTAGTCCAGTGGAATTGGGGCATGGGGGTGTTGGGGAAGGGTAAGAAAGGATATTTGAGAATGAATTAAGGGTTTAATCAAAGACATTGGTTCGTGAAAATTCATTGTATATTTGAGAAACAGTGACTGGTCTGATATGGCTTGTATGTCGCATATTGGGAGACAGGCAACAAACATATGTCAGGGCAGGATTGTAAGGGGCCTTCAATAACATGCCAATGACTCTCTGACTGATGAAAAAATGTATTTACTCCATGAGTATTTAGTGAGTACCTTCCATGTAAACATTGACATTATAGTTATAGTGGTGAATGAGAAAGACAAGTTCTCTTCTACAATGGGGCTCATATTCTAGTAAGTGAGGTAGGCTATTAAATTTTTTTTTAAAAAGCAGGCAAATAAATCAAGAAGAAAACTGGAAAGATAAATAATTGCTCGGAAGGAAACAAAGCAGGGTGAGGTGAGAGAGACAGAAAGGGGGTGGTCAAGGTTGACCTCTCTGAGGATATGATATTTGTGCTGAGACCTAAGGTCAGAATGGACCTTGACTAACCCCATTTTGTCTCCTTTTGTTATTATTATTATACTTTAAGTTCAGGGGTACATGTGCAGAATGTGCAGGTTTGTTACCTAGTATACACGTGCCATGGTGGTTGGCTGCACCCATCAACCTGCCATCTACATTAGGTATTTCTCCTAATGGTAAACTTCCCCTAAGCCACAAACTCCCAACAGGCCCCAGTGTGTGATATTCCCCTCTCTGTGTCTATGTGTTCTCATTGTTCAACTCCCAATTATGAGTGAGAACGTGCAGTATTTGGTTTTCTGTTCTTGTGTTAGTTTGCTGAGAATGATGATTTTCAGCATCATCCATGTCCCTGCAAAGGACATAAACTTATCCTTTTTTTGGCTGCATAGTATTCCATGGTGCATATGTACCACATTTTCTTCATCCAGTCTATTTTTAATGGGCATTTGGTTCCAAATCTTTGCTATTGTGAATAGTGCCACAATAAACATACATGTGTATGTATCTTTATAGAGAATGATTTATAATCCTTTGGGTATATACCCAGTAATGGGACTCCTGGGTCAAATGGTATTTCTGGTTCTAGATTCTTGGGGAATTGCCACACTGTCTTCCACAATGTTTGAACTAATTTATACATCCATCTACAGTGTAAAAGCGTTCCTATTTCTCCACATCCTCTCCAGCATCTGTTGTTTCCTGACTTTTTAATGATCACCATTCTAACTGCTGTGAGATGGTATCTCATTGTGGTTTTGATTTGCATATCTCTAGTGACCAGTGATGATGAGCTTTTTTTACATACGTTTGTTGGCTGCATAAATGTCTTATTTTGAGAAATGCCTGCTCATATTTTTAGCCTATTTTTGATGGGGTTGTTGGGTTTTTTCTTGTAAATTTGTTTATGTTCTTTGTAGATTTTGAATATTAGCCCTTTGTCAGATGGATAGAGTGCAAAAATTTTCTCCCATTTTGTAGGTTGTCTGTTCACTCTGAGGCTAGTTTCTTTTGCTATGCAGAACCTCTTTAGTTTAATTAGATCCCATTTGTCTATTTTGACTTTTGTTGCCATTGCTTTTGGTGTTTTAGTCATGAAGTCTTTGCCCATGCCTATGTCCTGAATGGTATAGCCTAGGTTTTCTTCTATGGTTTTTGTGGTTTTTGGTCTTACATTTAAGTCTTTAATCCATCTTGGGTATTTTTGTATAGGGTGAAAGGAAGGGGTCCAGTTTCAGTTTTCTGCATATGGTTAGCCAGTTTTCCTAACATCATGTATTAAATAGGGAATCCTTTCCCCATTGATTATTTTTGTCAGGTTTGTCAAAGATCAAATGGTTATAGATGTGTGGTGTTATTTCTGAGGCCTCTGTTCTGTTCCATGATCTATATATCTGTTTTGGTACCAGTACCATGCTATTTTGGTTAATGTAGCCTTGTAGTATAGTTTAAAGTCAGGTAGCATGATGCCTCCAGCTTTGTTATTTTTGCTTAGGATTGTCTTGGCTATGTGGGCTCTTTTTTGGTTCCATATGAAGTTTAAAGTAGTTTTTTCTTATTCTTTGAAGAAAGTCAATGGTAGCTTGATGGGGATAACATTGAATCTATAAATTACTTTGGGCAATATGACCATTTTCACAATATTGATTCTTTCTATCCATGAGCATGGCATATTTTTCCATTTGTTTGTGTCCTCTCTTATTTCCTTGAGCTGAGAGAGACAGAATTGGGGCAGTCAAGGTTGACCTCTCTGAGGATATGATATTTGTGCTAAGATCTAAGGTCAGAATGGTCCTTGACTACACCCATTCTGTCTTCTTAACCGAGGAGAAGATGTCAGTCATGCAAAGATAAGTGGGGAGAGATTTCAATGCCGAGAAGCAGAAAAGGACAAACTCCAAGTGAGGAATGTGTTTGGCATGTTTGAGAAACAAAAGACAGGGAAGTCTGGAGCACAGAAAGTAATGAGACAATAATAAGAGATGTGGTTATAGAGGGGGCATGGCCTGTTCTGGTGGGGCCTTGCAGGTCATGGTAGAGCTTGGGCTCTATTCTGAGTGTAATGGGAAGCCAGTGTGGGGTTTGGCAGGGAAGTAGCACATTCTGGCTTGCACTTTGCTCTGCAGTGAACTGACTATGGTGGATTAAAGGTAGAAACAGAGATCCATGGAGAGTCTCTTGAATTTCAGAAGGTGAAAGACGATTGTGGCATGGAGCAAGATGGCACCACTGGATATGGAGAGAAGGTAACTGCCTTGGCATATATTTGAAGTTAGTGCCCACAGGACTTGGTGTTGAATTGGATGTTGGATCAAGGGACAGAACAATTAAAGATGGCCCCTACGGTCTTCACAGGAGCAGGTGATTTGTCATTGCTGAGACAGGAAACACTGGAGGAAATATTAATTTAAAGAGTATATATCAGGAGTGTGTTTTAGGTAGACTATTAAGTTTGAGTTGCTTATTTCTCATTCAGGTGGTGATGTCAAGACAGTGGCTATTATGTGAGTTGTTATTCTGACCCCAGGGAAAAGGTCATGTTTGGCAATAATATATTTAGACATGTACTTAGCCTAGAGAAGTAGAGAATGTGGGTTGACTTCTTTTGTAAAAATCTGTGGGTTTTTTGGAGGGGTGGAGGGAGATTACTGACAATATTTAAAGCTCCATGAATATTGAAATCTCTATGAAAAGGATTGCTTAATCCCAAGTCTAATATTCTAAACCTAAAAGCATCATGTTGACTTTGACTAAGTTGTAAATTTTCAAGGACTTGCGTATTGTAAATGCCTACATTTATTTTTGTGAATTCATTGTACTATAATGAGATAGACAAAGGTTTGGTGGGTATTCCTTGGACCAGTAAAATCTTGTTGTAGACTTGGGACGTTTTTCAAAGTTAAATAAACTAGCTCAATCTATATGTTTTTTAAAAAATCACTAAATTCCTTGTCAACAGGGAGAAAACCTATCCCAATTGAAACATTTTTCAACTGGCTTGGTTTGGAGTTGTGATCTTCTTAATGAGGTCATGAGATCTGTTCTATTGTCTATTGGTTGATCACACAGAAAACTATTGACCATGTGACCCAACCAAGAGATCCCCTAAACAAGACCAAATAGAAACCACTAATACAGTGGTTACAATGGAGTGAACTGTAAATCAATAAATATACATTTTGTATTTATTGTTTTATTTTTGTTGAGATTAGTTATACTGTCCAGTGTTGAGGAAAATCTTGTTGATGATTTATGAAATATTTTGAGCTCATTAGAAAAAAAAGGTAGTCTAAATATACTAGTGTAACTATTATAGCATCTTTTAAATTCAAAACTAAAATTTTCCTTCATGGTCTCTGAATTTCGAATTATTGGGTCATGGAATTAATAAAAAGAAAATGATTGAGAAATACTGCCAGGATGCTTTAGAAGAGAAGAGATTACTACTTAAAGTCTCTGTAAGGCTAAAAATATTACAGGAATGTATCCATAAGTAAGGGCAAAGAACATGAACAGACACTCTTCAAGAGAAGACATACATGTAGCCAAAAATCATATGAAGAAAAGCTCTATTAGATGGTATTTCATGGTGTTTTTAACTTGCATTTCTCTACCACAAGTCAAAACCTCCATGAGACATCATGTCACAATAGTCAGAAGGGCTATAATTAAAAAGTCAAAAAATAACAAAGCTGGTAAGGTTGTGGAGAAAAAGGAATGCTTATACACTGTTGGTGGGAGTGTAAATTAGTTCAGCCATTGTGGAAGATAGTATGTCTATTCCTCAAAGATCCAAAGATAGAAATACCATTCAACTCACCAATCCTGTTATTAGGTACATACCCAGAGATATATAAATCATTCTATTATAAATATACATGCATATGTATGTTCATTGCAGCACTCTTCACAATAGCAAGGACATGGAATCAACCTAAATGCCCATTGATGATAGACTGGATAAAGAAAATGTGGTACATATATACCGTGGAACACTATGCAGCCATAAAAAAGAATGAGATCATGTTCTTTGCAGGGACATGGATGGAGCTGGAGACCATTATCCTTAGCAAAGTAACACAGGAGCAGAAACCAAATACCATATGTTCTCACTTATAAGTGGGAGCTAAATGATGAGAACGCATGGACACACAGAGGAGAACAACATGCACTGAGGCCTTTTGGAAGGTGGAGGGTGGGAGGAGGATGATCAGGAAAAACAGCTGATGGGTATTGCTTAATACCTGCGTGATGAAATAATTTGTACACCAAACCCCCATGAACCAAGTTTACCTATGTAACAAAGCTACACTTATACCCCAGAACTTAAATATAAAATTAAAGTCTCCTGCCTGTAATCCCAGCACTTTGGGAGGCTGAGGCGGGTGGATCACCTGAGGTCAAGAGTTTGAGACCAGCCTGTCCGACATGACGAAACCCCCTCTCTACTAAAAATACAAACATTAGCCAGACATGGTGTCACGTGCCTGTAGTCCCAGATACTTGAGAGGCTGAGGCAGGAGAATCACTTGAACCTAGGAGGTGGAGGTGGTAGTGAGCCAAAATCGTACCACTGCACTCCAGCCTGGTTGACAGAGTGAGACCCCATCTCAAAAAATAAGAAAAATAAAATAAAATATTTAAAAAGTCACTGACATGTATACTTTTAATGGGTGAATTTTATGGTACGTGAATTATATCTTAATAAAGTTGTTATAAAACAATAATAATCATTAGATTATTTTTATTTGTATATTTTAATATTGATAAATAATCATCTGATAATAACAAATAATAAATAAAATACTTCAATAAATAATTATCACAATAATAATAAAGTGACCCGACAGAAATTTGTTAGACTTTCTGTCTCCATGTGGAATCTTAGAAAGGATGCTTTATGCAGCTGAACTGGTCTCTTGCATGATGTGCAAATGAGGGTGAAATAACGCTTGAGAATGTGGTCGGTCAGGAAGACTGAGATGAAATAAGCAGACCAAAAAATGTGAACCAAAATGTAATGCATGAACTGAAGTACATCTGGTGAGTATGTGTGCCGCTGTTCTATGCTAGAAACCATTATAAACCATTTGGGGTGATCGAAAAATTGCTGCCCAGGTGCAGCAGTTTCTATTTTGAAAATGAAATAAATCTAGTGGACACTGTGGATGAAGAACTTGCAAAATCTTATTAGAAAAATAAATCTGTTTTGAGTTAGAGGAGTGAAAAAATCCTAACTTCTGCAGGAGTAGAAGTGTTGCAAAACTGAATACATTCATGTTTATTCAATAATCACACACATGTTCCATTAAGAAATGCAGAAAAAAATGCAATAAATATTGACTTTCGCAGCAAAATGTAGGAGTATATGTGCAAAGAATAATGAATCCTTTTCTTGACAGTTTGAGAAAAATAGAAAATTTGAGTTGTTTACGCAGGTTGAAAAATAAGAAAACTGTCCTCTTTATTAGCAGAGGGAAAACATTTCCAGTTAGTTGTGCAGAGATTATTTATCTGACTTGATTTTTTACAGGCAGAAAAGCCAGTTTGCATTTGGTAGTAATGTAGGTTTGTGAATGTAGGAGATCATGGGGCAAGATCTGGGTTTGGAGCTCCTTTTGTTTGGGAGGGAAAAGACAGCATGGGTTTGCTTCTCCTCCCCTCCATCCCCAACAATGAGGGTCATAGAGGGTTTGGGGCCTTGGGGAAAATCATGCTGTGTTCAAAATGTCTCATACCACTTCCCCTACACCCAGCAATATTTAAATCCAGAAAAAAATCATGTGAAAAGTGAACCTTGAAAGCAAACTTAAAAACTTTATAAACTTTGTAATTAAAAAAATTACAAAGAATATTTTGGGAACTCTAATGCTTGCTCATCAGAGGATAACTTGGCTGTTTTTTGGAAGGAGTGTGCAATGAAAAGACATGTATCAACGACCTTTAAAATGTTCATGGCCTTTAGGCAATCAATTCCATGGGATCATAAGAAAATGATCAGACATACCTGCATATAACAACTTTCAGGCAACCACATTTATACAGTATTTTTTAAATAGTAAAAACTTGGAATAGACAAAATTTCATTGGTAAATGACTTAACAAATTAAAAAATGACAACATGGACTACTGTGAATCCTTCAGAAATTATGTTGTAAAGAATATTTATTCACCTGCAAAACTATTTATGAAGTATCTGTAAATGCAAAAAGCTGAAACGTTACAGGGCATGCATTTTGGCCTCTATTATATGTCTGTTATGTGTAACTGTATAGAAAAAAGCCTGGAAGGAAATATTTAAAGAATGTTAACTGCTTAATTCTGGAAAGTGAAATTTTGCATGGGGATCTGAGCAACAGCTCCACAATGTGAAACTCTGGTTGGACCTAAAAGGATACACAGTAGTTCCACCTGAAGGAGCTGATCTCTGGAAGTAACCAATTGGCTGTGTGATTCCTGGTGGGATAACTTAGCAGCAGGCTTAACCTCTAACACCGTCAGTGCAGCGTTCCCACCAGCTTCCCCACTCACTTCTGAAGAGTTATCATCAGCTCGGTGGGGCATAATGCAATGAGAGAAATGGGCCCTGGGTTTCTTTTCGCAGCTCTATGAGCAAAAGTGGACACAATCACTTGCCCTCAACATTAAAAGATCATATAATGATGGTTGGTAAACTGTTTTGAGATCCACAGGCAAATGTGCTAATTTATTACCAGTCTTCAATTGACATTTCTATTCACTCATGTAAGAACCATTGAAAACTATTGGTCCTGAACTTTATATAGTCAACAGCAAGTGGGTCTGGGGAAGTTTTGATGCGAAGATCACAGCAAACTAGTAGCATAGGCAACTGTAATAGTGTTAGGCAGATAAAAATCAGTGAAGACCAATGTTAATATGAAGATAAAGGAAATTTACTGAGGTCAGAAGTTTCCTGAGAAATAATGATCTATGAGAAGAAACTGAAATGAGTGGGAATATCCACTACTGATCTAGTTATCATTTCACTACCCCCTTCTAGTAGACACACATTTGAGAGCTGACTTTTATCATCATGTAGACTAATTTCCTAGTTTGAAAATCTTCAACCGTAATACTCTATATAGCAGTGTAAAGATTTTAGCTTTTTAGCAATAATTGTTCAGAGGAAATCTTTCAACACTTCTTTTCCTATGTTCCATTTATATTTATGTTGTGGTGGTTTGTACTATGGATTGCGGTGGCTCTGCCCTGCACAGAGTCCCAGCGTGCCTCTACTATGAAGAAATGGTATGCTCTGAAAAGTTTCAACTGGTTTTATATATAGCTGTTGATTACTGAGTTTTCTTTCACAAGGGCTTATGTACCTTGTTTGTCAATTAATATTACAGCTCTAGAACTAGTTTTGTAGTGATCCACCCATATATTTACCTTTTCTATGCCTTGTGTAAGAAATAAGTTGGGATGCCTTACAAAATATAAAATAAAATTGAAAAGTACAAAATATGAAATAAAATTGAAAAGGAACAAAAAAATGTGATAAAGACAAAATAGTAAGAAAGAAGAACTAAAGCTAAGAATGAGTTTAGCAGGTCATAAGTTTTCTTCATATTCTAGAAGTAGACCATAAACTCTAGTGGCTAATGCAGAGAGAGAGAGAGAGGCAGAGAGAGGGTCAGTGTCAGAGTCACCAAATCTTGGTCCCTTGAAGACTTTGGCTTCCCCAGAAGTAGTAAGGGGCAGGTACAGCAGGTGAGAGCAGGCCAACTGTAATGTTTCAATATCCTTCACCCACCTGCTCAACCAGAAAAGTTTGTTTTATAGTTTTATATGGTGTGGGATTCTACATAAGATTTAAGGTTTAAAAATCATCCTTCACTAAAAGACATATTTGAAAGCCACAGAATTCACAGTGGTTCTAAGAGTCAAGCCAGCTACCCTGCAGGTAAACATACTCATTCTTTGTACTATGAGTGAAGGGGAGTATCCTTAACAACACCTTTGAAGAGAATTGTGGCAGATAATATATGTTCCTAGCTGAATGTTTAAGTATATTCTCCATCCATTTCTTTATTCAACACAATTTATCAAATACTCACCATGTGAATTGCTTACAGCCTGGAGATAAGAGGTAGGTGGTATACTGCTGAATATAAAGTATGTTTTTTGATTTTGAGAAATATTCTCTGAGATCAGCCATATGTGAACAATTAAACAACAATACAGACAATAACATTAGAACCATCAAGTTCAGACAATGAAAGTTTGTAATCAGAGGAAAGAGAGTGAATTTTGCCAGGGTTATTATAAAATCTCCTTGGAATTAGATCAATCTGAGTTAAGCTTTAAAGAATGTCCAGGGTCCAGATATACAGAGAAACATGGGAAGAGCACACATGTATATCGGTGTGCTGAACATACAGATCACCAGATAGGAAATAAAATAAAAGCTGTTAGAAAAGGTGTTGCTGGATGTGGTGGCTCAGGCCTATAATCTCACCACTTTGGCAAGCGAAGGCGGGAAGATGGCTTAAACCCAGCAGTTTGAGATAAGGCTGGGCAGCATAGTAAGACTTGTCTCTGGAAAAAATATTAAATTAGTTGGGCATTGTGATGCATACCTGTAGTCCCAGCTACTCTAGAGGCTGAGGCAGGAGGTTTGCTTGAGCATAGGCGCTTGAGACTGCAGTGATCCATGATCATGCCACCGTACTCCAGCCTGGGTGACAGAACAAAACCCTGTTTCAAAAAAATAGAAACCAAAAAGAAAAAGTGCTAACCATGTATATTAGTTTATTTTCATGCTGTTGAAAAGACGTATGCAAAACTGGGCAATTTACAAAAGAAAGAGATTTGACTGGACTTACAGGTCCGTGTGCCTGGGAAGCCTCACAATCATGGTAGAAGGCAAGGAGGAGCAAGTCAGGTGTCACATGGATGGAAGTAGGCAAAGAGAGAGAGAGAGCGTGTGCGGGGGAACTCCTCTTTTTGAAGCCATCAGATCTTGTGAGACTTATTCACTATCATGAGAACAGCACAGGAAAGATTTCTCCCCATGATTCAGTTACCTTTCACCAGGTCCCTCCCACAACGTGTGGGAATGTAAGATGAGATTTGGGTGGGGACACAGCCAAACCATATCAGCATGAGTTTTTGATTGGAGAGAGAGAGAGAAAGGGGGAGAGAGAGAGAGAGAGAGAGAGAGAGAGATATAAAATGAGGGAAGAGAGGGAGGATTTATACCCTGTACGTGAAGATACTGATGTTCTACTGAGCATGATATGGCACCTGACAATGCCAAGTGCTATTTTTCCCCCATGGTGTAGAGAATTTATGTCTAATAGACATCTCGGCTAGAGAAGGAAAAGGAGACATTCTAGAGTAGAGTGAAGTGCACAAAGTAGGGCAGAGAGCAGCTTTTTAGATTAGGGCTATACTTACCAATAAGCCTAGTTCAATCATTCTCTTTTTACAAAACTTCCAGCATTATTCCATATTTTGTAAGATGTTTGAGTTTTCTAAAGAGTCACGCTTTTGGAAGCAGTGTATTATGTAGAAGAATACTGAATGTGCACCCCGCTATTAATTGCATGGCTCTGGGCAAGTAACTCGGCTTTTCTGAGTCTCTCCCTTTCCTTATTTTCAAAATAGAGATAATAATGGATAACTTTGCTGGTTGTAGAGCTGCAGTGAGAATTAAATCACGGTTGTATTTGTAAAAGCTGCCATGATGTATGTAGCTTAGAGTATCCCTGGGAGGATACAAAAGAAACAAACTGATTGCAATATAGGTGGAGAAGTGATAAACTGGATAAGAGGAGCAGGGGAATAGTAGTTAAAGAGGAGAAGGAAGAATTTTTTTACTTTTCACTGAATACCCTTTGAACTTTCTTGCATTTTATACTACGGATGCTCATTGCCTATTCAAAACTAATTAATAATAATTAAGGAATAGACTTGATTATCAGAAAAAAATAGATAATTACACAGTCATGTTATTATCTAGATCAAGGATCAGTAAACTGTGGCTCTCAAGTCAAATCCAGTTTGCTGTCTGGTTTTTGTAAATAAAGTTTTATTGGAACACAACAACCATTTTAAGTTATTTATGGCTGCTTTTGAGCCAGCCACTAAGTTACAACTGCAGACTTGATTAGATGTAACAGAGTTGGCTTGCAGAACCCAAAATATTTATCATCTGGCCCTTCCTAGAAAAAGTTCATCAACTCTTAGCCTAGATGTTATTCAATGCTTTGAAATTTAAGGACACCTTTTTCCCCTTTTTGAAAAAGTTATCTTTTTTTTTTTCTGAGACAGAGTCTTGCTCTGTTGCCAGGCACCAGGCTGGAGTGCAGTGGTGCAATCTTGGCTCACTGCAACCTCCGCCTCCCGGGTTTAAGCAACTCTCCTGCCTCAGCCTCCCAAGTAGCTGGAACTACAGGCACACGCCACCATGCCCAGCTAATTTTTGTATTTTTAGTAGAGACGGGGTTTCACCATGTTGGCCAGGATGGCCTCGATTTCTTGACCTCGTGATCCACCTGCCTTGGCCTCCCAAAGTACTGGGATTACAGGCGTGAGCCACCACGCCCGGCCAAAAAAGTTATCTTTTTACATATGCTTTCTTTTCTTTCTTTCTTTCCTAATGAAAGGTACCATAGTTGGTATCTCTTTCTATATTCTTAGCACATACCATTGTGCCTTCCACATGGTAGAGCTCAATATGTTATTGATTGAATTTACTATTCATTCTAATGAGCTTGAGAACACTAATAGTTAAATTTGCCATGCTGAGTATGTATGATAAAAATTTCCTATTGAAATTCTATATAATTGTCATTAATTTTAGATATAGTTTATTATTCTGTTTGTGGCTCAGAAATCTAGGCTTATAGTCAGAAAGTATTGCTTAGTGCTTTGATAACTGATGACTTCCTATGTGATGCTGAGTTTGAGCTGAAGTTTCCATACCTATAATCTGGGGATGATAATACCTAGTCCTACTTGCTCCACAGGGATGTTCTCAAGACACCCAAAATAAAAGCTCTGTGTCATTCAAGCAGTCCTGGTGGCTGGAAAGCCATCCTCAAAGTGGCACTGGCAAAGTAAGTTTTCTGATTCGTACTTGTTACGAAGGTAAAAAGATGTGGCTACAAAAATGTTCTCCATGCAATTAGGAAAAAAAAAATTTGCTAAGATAAACATGATTGTTGACATTGATTAATACTGTTCCTATGTGTAGGGCAGTATCTTCAGGGTAGTTGGCTTTTACAGCATCCTGACATTGGCATTCCCAGGAGTGCAGGCATTAGCAGCAGTGTCCTTTCGCTGGACTCTGTCTGCTGCCATTGACTCATGCTCCACCCTCCTCTCCAATACTGCTCAGACAGTGGCCCCTTTTCTGGGTGGAAAGTCCATTAACAGGGGCTAGGCTACTCACACTTCATCAGGGGATGCTGCCAAATCATATGGGTTTGCTAAAGCCTCAAAATCTCTTCAATAGGAGATTCTGGCCCTTCACATGTAACAGGGTTATGCTCATTTTGTTAACTCTGCAAATGTGACAATTTGATGGGGATATTACAATCAGCATTTGGAAAATCAGAAGATACCAATTACATGCTGATAGACTGATATGAAAATATAATTAGAATGTGCATCATCTAACCATGGTGCATAGTGAGCCAAAAGGGGGACAGGTGGTCAGGAGGGGGTATTTATTTTACAAAGGTAATTTCAAGATCTTAAAGTTATATATTGGACATCTTTCAAGTTTTGTTGTTGTTACATATTTCTTCCTTCAGATTATAGGTACTATCTTAGACAAAAGGGAATTGCAAAGATAAATGTGTGCATATATTCGTTGCAGCACTATTCACAAAAGCAAAGGCATGGAATCAATCCAAATGCCCATCAATGATAGACTGGATAAAGAAAATATGGTACATAAACACCATGGAATACTATGCAGCCATAAAAAGGAATGAGATAATGTCCTTTGCAGGGACATGGATGAAGCTGGAAGCCATTATCCACAGCAAACTAATGCAGGAACAGAAAACCATACACTGCAAGTTCTCACTTGCAAGTGGGAGCTGAACAATGAGAACACAAGCACACAGGGAGGGGAACAACATTTCCTGGGGCCTGTAGTGGGAGGGCAGAGAGAGGGTGGAAGAGCATTAGAGAAAAGAATTAATGCATGCTGGGCTTACTACCTAGGTGATGAGTTTTTAGGTGCAGTAAGCCAGCATAGTACACGTTTACATATGTAACAGACCTGCACATTCTGCACGTGTACCCCAGGACTTAAAAGAAACTTTTTTTAAAAGAAAGAATTGCCATTAAAATTTTAAACTTCCTCTGCTTTCTCTTGCCTGCCAAGTGGAGATGATGATATTTCCTGTTAATATGCCCCTTGGGGATTAGAAAGAAGGTTATATTTGTCATCATAATCATTGTGATCAAAACCATAGTCAACCTCAGCCAGTTACTGAATGCTCTAAATCTTGGCTGTTAGGCTTTAATGCATAAATATGAACATAAAGAGTCATCCAGAAGAGGTATCCTCCTCTCTCTATCCTTTCCTTTCCCTCACTCTCTTTTCTTTTAAATCACTAAGAATCACTCCATTCCCAGTGTTGTTGCCAGCAGTCATATCACAGGAGCGAATATTCCTTTCTAGCAGTGTATGCCTGACCTTTAAAAAAATGATAGGTAGATGTTTGGCAACTCAGGTTAACAGAATACCAGCACTGTATTTCCATTCAAATAGTGAGTCCATATTCTGTTTTAGCATCTTTAAGTTATCATCACAGTCATTTAAGGTCATTTGTTAAAAAGTACAGCTAATTGCATTTCTAGTGTTACTATATATGGAAAATCAAAATATCAGCTATAGTGTTTATTATTTCCTTATACAAAAGGGAAGAACACACATCCTTTTAATTGTATCTTTAATAATAAAAAGGAACATTATCATTACTAGCAAAAGATGTATTACTTTCATGAGGCTTTGCACACCAGCATTTTGTCCTATTACTTCTCTTTTATACTCAGCAACACGAATTTTGGGGGCCTAACTAGGCAAAATTACAGTATAGACCCTAATGAAGTCTCCAGATTCTTAACAAACTGTGTCTTTCCATGTCATTCTGCAGTCACCATTAGCTATGTAAAGCAGCCTAGCCTTCTTTTTCTACCAGCTTGTCTCTGAAATAATTATTTTTCTTGGTTCTCTGACTATTTTTCTTGATCAAAGTTTTGGAGATGGTTTTGTTTTTTAAAGTTAGTTTTGTTTTGTTTCTAAATCTACCTTAGTGCTGTTAAAAAACTATCCACTAAAAAAGATTCTGGATCAGAAAATAAAGGAGCAAGGGGCTGGGGGGGCGGGCACTTAAGTCTGTTATTATGATATCATTGAGGAGTGACATTTGCTTTATTGAATCTGCTAATCCCATCCTGAAAAACCCTCACAGACACACCCAGAAATAATGTTTAATTTGGGCACTTTGTGACCCAGTCAAGTGGAAACATAAGATTAACTATCACCTGTGCCCCAGTGTAGTCTTAGCATGTAAAACCGTTGACCCATTCCAGAGTTTGTACCTAACCTCTTGGCTAACCGACTAGCTGCCGATCTCATGTTAAGTAATTA